TGACCTGCATGTGCGCGGGTTGTACATTGGTCAGCAGGTCGTCATGGTGAGCAGCACACTGGACTCCAGGATCTTAGTTTGTCATGCAAATAAAAGATTAAATCTTAAAGAGCGATTACCATTTGCACCATTTAGTGTAGAAATGCTTAGATCTGGCCTTTTCAGTACAACACGAACAGGCTCAAATCAAAAGTAATCCTAAATGAAAATTCTCTCACCATCATTGCAGCTTCTCATGGGACTTGTGCAGATCTTGCAATGAAATGTATTTACTGTATTGTTAGGTAAACTTCACATGAACTAAGCAGATACAGACATGGATATGACACAATTAGGTTGAATCTTATTGGGTGCACTCTTTAAAATGGAAAGGTCCTGACATTGGAGTGCATTGGTGGTCTGCAGGTCAGAAATATCATAAGAGAGATGTGGCAAATTAAACAATCCTGGCATTAAATCTAGGGGAGACATGACAATGATGGTGGTAGAAGTGCAATTTCCCAGCGGGGGAAAAAGATTTTTATTGCCTTTTTATTTTGGGGAAAAATTGACTGATTTTATACGTGTAGTTCTGTATTGGAGACCACTGAAATTAAGTGCATCTTGCTTCCAGGAGGACTTTGTGCAGATGCTACGAAGCAAACCTCCATTTACATGCTGTAGTTATGTCTGACCTGGAGTCAAGTATGTTGAACGACCAGTAACGTAAGAGATCAGCTCATGCCACAGGGAAGATGGTAGTCATCCTATAGTGAAGTGAAACTCAGTGGAAAGACTGTAAACTGTTCACTGTAGCCAGTTTAATGTGGGGTGTTTTTTTTGTTTTGTTTTTTTTCTTCTTCCTTGCACTTCCACTGTTGCTTTTTTTCCTCCTGTTCAAGCCAACTTTGTAAACTAATCAGCATTCAACCTATGCACAGCATCATTAGTGTTGGGCAACGTGCTGTTAGCTTTGTGGAGGGCTGCATGCAAGTCCAGCCTCTGCCTTTGGTTGAATTCCAAAAATCTCTCTCTGCAGAGCAAAACAGACATCAACATTGTACTAATAATTACTTACATTAATTATTACATAAACACACAAAACGGGCAGTAGACGTTTGATCCTAACTTTTTCTGCTGCAGTAAAATTGAGACACAACTATCATAAATTTGCCTCAAGAAACTTAAATTAAAACAAAAGTTGAATCATGAATGTCCTCATCTGTCACCAGTACAAATGAAGTACTCGAATACAGCTTCTTATGCAGGTTTAAAGTCCAGCTTTACAAGGTAAATAATTATGTAGTTACATAGTGACCTTGAAGTTGGACTGCATTTAATGTCCAACTTTAGGAGCTGGTAGAAATTCAGTAAACGGGTAATAGAATTAACTTCACTATGACAGTGTCAGTGAGCCTTAACATTATAGGTATCATAAAAGTAGACTTTATAGGTGAACAGCTTTAAGTCCTCCTATTGAACCTTGTATTTATTTTCATTGCTTGAATCCTAGCTTTACAGCATCAGAATGACTCCGGCCTGCTCTTTATAGCACAATTGAGACTAGTTTCTGTACCTTTCTTACAAGATTTACCGATTAGTTTTCTGCAAATACAAATTCTGTTGGAAAAGTGCCGCGGTATTAAGCCACAGGCACATAGGCATTTAGTTTCTTGTTTTTTGCCAACAAGGCTGTAAATTGTCTGAGTTTACACACTAAATGCTATTAACCATCGGGATTATCAGTTTACCTCACATTGTCTGCTGATCGGTCGAGTGCTTGTGCTGGTGCACTGCCTAAACAGGCCTGTCGTATTTGGTTGCAGCTCCAGAGCTGATCCTGTGTTGCTGGAGGATCTGTTACACGTTCAGTGAGGTGTTTATAACCGGGTCAAGCAGACACTCATGACCTGATACGCTGACGCACTTTCAGTTTGTGGGGGGCCCAACTCGGGACGTCATGTGTGTGTTTACCAGTGAATACTTGTTACAAAGAGGTATTTTTCTTTGCTTAAAATAAGCTTATTGCCTGGCTGGTCTTTCTTGATTTGTCTTTAAAGGACTTTGTTGATAATCAGAGGTTTGAGTGTACAGCAGTGCCCAAAAGCACTTTTCTTGAATACCTCCACTGACCCATTTTTCTGGATTTTCTTTCAATGCTTACAGAGTGAAAAGGAGGATTAAAAAAAAAAAAAATACATCGCTGTACATCAAGTGATGGTGAGCGAATCAATGGTTCCTTTTTTGCCAATGGAAAATTACCTTACTAGGCCTCCCACTACAAAGTCACCTCTGAATTTAATCTTTATTAGCTGAGTCAGATGTGGAGATGCTGAGGAGGCAGAGAAGGAATTCAGAACCTGTCTCCGTCGGCTGCATCACAGGGTGTGAAGGGTTTGATATTTTTTTGTCATCAAAGCATTTATAAAATGATGAGAAACTGGCACATGTCAGGAGTTTTCTCTTTACAGCTACTGTGCTGTATTACATAGGAAATCCATCAGGTCATTATTTGTAATGTAAGCACCAAAACAGCAGTTCATATTTCAGCTGAAGCTCAGCCTTAAATGGCAGGTTTCACAGCTGTTTGGCTTCTTTCCTTCCTTATTCCTTTTTTGACACCTCATCTTTAGTCTGAGCTTAGTTGTAAGAAGTTCAAATAAACAGCAGTTTTATTTGTGTAATTGTGTTAAGTGGCCAGAAGCAGCTTAAGTATCTGGTCAATCAACAGTAATAAAATATTTAAAGAAATTAAAATTAGAGCTGTTTTTTTTTTTTTTTTTTGGTCATTCTTTCTAAAGGGAAAACACTCCCACTTAATTTGATTCAAACTTGAGATACAAATATTTAAAACTATTGACTCTTTGTGTTTGATATGCTGGTCCTGTTGTGTCTTCACAAACTTCTTGAAACACTTTTGTTTTGCTTAATTATTTGACTTTTACCTTTTTCGTTGGCATAGAATCTCAGTCGTCTTGGCTAATGCTGATTGTAACCTGCTCGATGGTGACTGGGTGATGCATTTTAGGGCAGGGCAAAGATGCACCTGTACAAAAGATTTAGAAGACAACAAATCCCTCCATAATATAACTGAAAATAAAAGTGGATCATAGGCAACATAACTGTATTATGTGCACATTCTTGCTTACAACTAAAATATTTTTATAGCCCGACTGATAGGCCGATATTATCAGTCGATATTGGCTATTTGTTTGTGATTTATCTACATAGAAATTTAAGTAAGTTTAAGTAAAGATATGACAGGATTTGATGCTGTGTAGAGGGCGCATGCACAACCTCTTGATCCAAGCAAAGTCAGGGAGAACAAGTGAATGAATAACTCCACACACGTTTAAAATTCTATATTGGTTGAGCTCTAAATGGCTATGTTTACAATGTCTGTCTTTGTAGATATCCATCCATTCTTGTTTGTTTATTCTTGTTAGGGTCACCGGGGGCTGGAGCCTATCCCAGCTACCATAGGGTGAGAGATGGGGTACACCCTCGACAGATCGTCAACCTGATGCAGGGCTAACACAAAGAGACAGACAACCATTTGCACTCACATTCACACTTATGGGCAATTTAGATTCTCCAACTAACCTAACTACTAACTGCATGTCTCTGAACTGTGGGAAGAAGCTGGAAGCCTTTGTAGATATCTCTTATCATAATCTATCATAAACAAACCTGTAATTTGATTAGCATCAGGCTAGTCTTTGGGTTTTGACATTTTGGTGATGTACAAACTGATAACTCTCACATTGCAGATTTTGCTGGAATGGTTGCATTAGGGAAGTTTTGTTTGTTTGTTTTTTTTCTTTGAGATTTCTCAGCGTGCAGGCTTGTATAGCCAGTGCTGAGGATCAGGAAGTCTTGCACAAGATTTGGATATTATTTTTGGCTTGGGAAGGAAAAAACCCTCAAACTGTTGTGTTTTCTCATAGGGCTTTAGAGTTGACGTCACGCCGCAATGTATTGTGGGAGCGCGGCACCATTTTCGGGGTCTACGAATCAAAACAAACACACTGTGTTGGAACGACGATTACACGATGCTTAAAAGCAGCTCAAAAGAGAATGGACTGTATAGAGACCGATTGCGTCCAGAAGCGAAGTAGCGGTACTTGCAGAAAATAGCGTGCATCGGAAATGTGGACCCGTATGAAATACGGCTGTTTTAATGCTGTTTCTAGAAACTTTCATATGTACTGTGATGGAAGCTTGTGTCCATCTTGCCCTCCTCTAATGTCAGCTTTCTGTTACATCACTCCACATCTGCCCTGTGGACATAACAGACTGCACAGTAGAATATGACATGACATTGGGGGCACAGTCTCAGCTGCAAATGCCTCGCAGCAGGTTTTTATTGTGAAAATATCTGAAAATCAAAGGATCCAATGTGATTCTGAAAATATTGGTGATTATTTTTACTATTGATTTACTGGCAATTCTTTCTGTCCAGCACATTTTTGCAGGGCTCTAACAGTTTATAAATAGCATTTAAAACCTTAAATGATGAACTGTTGGCATTTGTCTTTTGGCAACAGCGAGCCATGTGTTATTCCACAGCCTCTGTAACAAAATTTAATTTAGGGTCACTAACTGTATTTGTGCTGTGACATGCCTGATATGTGTTGGGGAAAAGGGTCTACATACATTAGATAAAGCATAAACCACCAGTAGAGGGGAAGCCTGCTTGTCACTGTACTACTGGATTTGTTTCATCATTACAGCTTGATGGCCATTCTTTCACAAAGGCACTGCAGATTTAATACTTTGTAAATCTGTTTCATCCTGAAGGGATACTTAAAAAAATGGTAGTAAAATACATGTTTCATTCTTTTAGTCCCTTTCTCTCACTCATCAATTTTTCATCATAAGACAATCCCAGTTGTGGATTAATAAAACTGTTTTTATCAGCACTTTAAATCTGCACTTCACTTGTAGATTTAACCAGACACTGCTCCCTCACAGGCGTTAATGTCATAGTGTGTTCATCTCACTTTTTTTGTGTTTCTCAGGTCACTTGCTGCCTGGACATGAACTCTGTCTGAACTGACACACGAGGAGCCACAGCGGCAGCACAGCCGTTCATCTCCATGCACCTCTGAGGACGAAACAGTCATCCTGAATACGAGTTCGCCCCTTAGGGTTCCTCTGCTCTTTTCACCATGGGGGGAGCTGTGAGCGCCGGAGAGGACAATGACGACCTAATTGATAACCTGAAGGAGGCTCAGTATATCCGCACAGAAAAAGTCGAGCAGGCTTTTCGGGCCATAGACCGCGGTGACTACTATTTGGACGGCTATCGGGACAATGCCTACAAAGATTTGGCCTGGAAGCACGGTAACATACACCTGTCTGCTCCGTGTATATACTCCGAGGTGATGGAGGCACTGAAACTGCAGCCGGGACTTTCTTTCCTCAATCTGGGCAGTGGAACCGGCTACCTGAGCACAATGGTTGGCCTCATCATAGGTAATCTTGGCTTACCCTTATTGTGGGAGGTGTTTAGATGTTCTCTAAAGTCTACATGGACAAATTTAGAGGAAATGATTAAGTGACTTCAATAAATGACATCACTGATGCTACTGAATATGGTCTTCATCGATCAATTGGTTTATAATACGTTTCCCAAAAATAGCACTAAATACCTAATAAATGTCAGATAAGCAGTGTATATTTGCATATGTTCAGACTTGAGAAGCAGAAATCAGCAAGAATTGGGCTTTTTTTTTTTTTTTTTTTGGTTTTTTTGCTTAACGGAGGCCATGAATTAATATGCCACATTTTTGTCCCCCCCCCTCCCCCTTAGGGCCATTTGGTGTAAACCATGGAGTTGAGCTCCACAAAGATGTCGTTGAATATGCCAGAGAGAAACTGGATGACTTCATAAAGAATAGCGACAGCTTTGATAAGTGAGTATATGCTTATGTTTTTTTTAAGCTCACTTTCTGACCACACATTCACCTGAAGCTCTGGTGGTTGCCTGGTGAACGGCTCTCGGCAGGAAACCGCTATGCACATGACCGCCTGTAAAACGACGAGTAAGTGTTCAGGCAGTTTTTAGGCTGACGTTAGCCCTGCACCCAAAAAGCAGCCTTCTCATTCATTTAAACGAAGCCAGTGAGTCAGTGCAGCGGGGTGCCAAAAAAAGGACACCAGCAAAACAAGTCATTTGGCACAAAAAAAAAAAA